AAAATGAGCAAATAAACAAGGTTTGCTAAATCATAATGATGTCTCTTCTCACCTCTAAGGCGCACATTCCAAAGGAATAAATATCCACAGCTGTGGTGACGTTGGCAACAGCTGCAAGCAAAAAGAATCAAATCAACATGACGAAAAACAAAAACTCTGTAGCTCAACGGAACCTGGGCAGGATCTTACCTCCATATTCTGGAGCGAAGAAGTGAAGACACTTCTGCTCCTCCCGGCAGGTTTTTACGTGGTTGTTGATGGTGTCAGGAGCAACTGGGAGAGTCAGGGCAAAACACTTAGTAATAACACCACTGAGCTGGGAGTTTGACTGAGGGGAGGGGGGGTGGTATGTTAATCACATTAATTTAAAGGACCTCAGGCTGCTTCGGGGGTCTCACCTGAGCCGATCTTGATGAGGCCGTTGTGCTGGATGAAGATGGTGTCACAGGTGAGGTTGCCATGGATGATGGCAGGATCACAGGAGTGCAGGTAGCTAAACGTCAGAAGAAAAAAACGGTTACAGCAGGTATGTTCTGTATATTTTTGCAGCGACTGTTAAACCGAAAGCTGAACCGAGACGTCCGACCCACCTGAGGGCGGACAGGATCTGTGTGCACCAGCGCTTCCAGGCCTGAGAGGAAACAAGTGCTTAGAAACTAAACTTCATGTTTATTTTGTTTAGAAAAAAGGATTTGTGTCTTATTAGGAACTTTTTGCACCTTTTCATTCATGGTCTTGTGGTTTTTCTTCGTTTTTTTCAGAAACTGTTTGAGGCTTCCTGATGACATGTACTCCGTGATGAAAATGACCTGAAAAGAACAGCAAGTAAACAAACAAACATCATTATAATGGCGTGCAAAAATAACTAAATTAAAGAATAAACGTCTGGTCTGAGTTTGTACCCGGGCTCGGTTCTCTTTGACGTCGGCCCAGTACTTGTGAAACTTCACGATGTTCAAATGTTCCAGCTGGATTAAATTGTCAAACACAGCTTTCACTTTTTCCTGTGGACAATGAAAATAAAATAAAATCAACAGTTATTAGTTTACAAAGAAAATCTTTTTATGAGTCCAGACTTTTTAAATCTACAGATTGTTTTTTTTTTTTGTTGATCTGAGGTCATATTTTGACATTTTATCACTTCCTGTAAATATACAGAACAAACAAAACTATCGACACCGATCTGTTTGAACTGTTTCCTGTTTACAGTCTCTAACCTGTTTGCAACAAATCACATCCAAACTTTGTACTTTTATACATCAAAACAAGCGACTCAATCAGGAACAGAGCGCTACGACTTCCAGTCAATTTTGTACTTTTTGAATAAACTTTAGCTCGTAGCTAATGTTTCATTAGTCTCTTAGCAACTTTTCTAAAGATTTTAGCCACTCTTCATTCAACATCGACAGAAAAATGCTCTTCAGTTCTGATCGAAACGATTTTGTTTGAGCAGAAAATAAAACATCTTCGGCTGCTTTAAATTAGAGTCCATTAAGAAATTTGTTGGGTAAACACAGAGGAATACCAGAAAATAACTATTAAACAGCTCTGGTAAAGTGAAGTTAACCTTTCACCCAGTTTTATAGAAAGAAAAAAACAACTTTAAAACCTTTGAATGACATCTGCTTTGATCCTCAGCGGGGCTACGCTTCATTAAAGTTTCTGAGAATTATTTCTACTCTTAGTTACAGATAAATAGCTGTGACGCTGGCAGCAACAACTCCATCAACCAAAGATCAGCAGGTTCACACAGGGAAAAAAGAAAACCTTTGTTCAAAACGTCTGAAGGACATTTTAAAGCTCCTGACTGAAGTGACGACACAGAAATGAGTCTGGTGTATTTTTACCGCTCTTACCTCTTGTAGTTTGAAGTTCTTCCTCTCTGAGAACATGACCTCATTCCACACCACCTCCACTCCCTCCTCCGTGTCCATTGCCAAGTAAGCATTATCGATCCCAGGCACGTTCCGCTGATTCACCTACAGCAGGGAGGGGGACGTGTACTGTCAGGTAATGTTGTGGGAAAGGTACTCACATGTAACTCGGTATGAAGAAGAATCTTTTACACGCACAATAACATTTAAACAAGTTTGTTTCTTTACAGCTTTCACTGATTACTTGAAGCTGAAACACATTTAAATGTAAAACCTGTGCAGTTAGGGCAACATTCAGAGGTTTAAATGTTAATAGAAGAACTTTAGAAGAATGGAAACATGTTAAAATGAAAAGTTGAAGGCAAAAATGAAAAAAAAAAAAAGATCAAAATTGAACACAAGTATAAAGGTATATAATGCAAAACTTTATCATATGGTTTGACATGCGACTAGCTTTCCAACAAAGCACTGAAGCCCTCCAAATTTAAACAGCAGCTATAATTTGTCACAAATATGACGAGTACATAAACGTTTGTCACAATCATGTCTGTTGGTTTTTGCTTGTTAAGCTGCAAGTGTATTTCATTTAGTTATAATGTAAATAATGAGTGAGATTGTGGAATAATTTGGAAGATGATGTTAAAAGTGCCACATCAATGCATATGTTTAAGAGAATGATAAACATTAGATTGTTAAAAAAATATGAAATGGTTTAATTTGCAACCATTCAATTTGTTGTTCTAGAAAGATTTGATGTTTTGTTTTAACTGAAGATTATTATCGTTGGAAATTATACTTGAGAAAAAAGGGGCAGATATAAGGTTTTTTTTCTTCTCTCTGCCACCTTTAATATCATTTTATTTGTATTTTCTTTTTTATTGTACATTTAATTTTGTTTCTATGGAATGAATATAGTTTGAAAATAAGTAACTAAAATACAAATTAAACCCAAATTTAGATCAATTATCACTTTGATCAGTATATTGTTAATATCTGAATGGGCCTTTAGATTCAACAAGTTGGGCCTTAAAGTTAAAAAAAAAAGTTCAGGAACCCAATTCATCAGGTCAGTATAAGAGCATAAATTCACCTGTTTCATTTGTTCTATCAAAGTTTATACAGAATGACCTGTGCCAAGGCTGCTAACATTTTTAATGGTTTAGTGTTCAGACACTGAGCTAAATTTTAGATGTGATATCATATCAAACATGAAATGTTTTTTTTCTTTTCGCTTTTTAATGTCACAAAATTAACCTGCACAACATTTAAATGAACCTTTCCAAACCTCCTCTCTGCGTTTCTGCCAGCGTCCACACGGACTTTCTTCTAAAATCTCGGACTCGTCCTCGCTCTCCTCCTCGTCGTCCTCCGTGGCCGCGGCGGCGGAGGGAGGCTGGGCCACCGCGGACACCGGCGGAGACACGGACGACACTCCTCCTCCTTGGCCCACCGCGGAAGCAGCGGCCCCGGAGTCCGGCGGCTTCGCCTCCTGGCTGCTGTCCGGGGCCTGCAGCTGCTTGTTCTCTCCCTCAGACATCCTCAGCCGTCAGGCCCAACAGCCCGCTGTGTGCGACACGCCAACACTTTAAAGGGCCGCTTTTTACATTTCCTATGTTTTTTATTAGCATTTAGCTGCGGTGCAAACATTAGTTTTCAGAGGAAACTAGCTTAATCGATGGCTTCCAGTTCCACCAAGCAGAAAAACAATTCAAGATGCAACTCACATAAAATAATAAATCTTACCAACGACTCCCTTGTTCCAGTGGGAAAATGTGACGATGACAGCTCCAGTTTACCAGACTTTAACCTTAACAGATCGAACCCAGTCCTCCCCGCTTGCTTTAAATCGTCAGCGAAGATGCGTATTCTTGCTCTGTGGTGCCGCTAACTCCTTGGTTCTGGTTACGAACCTACAAGTAACGACCAACCAAAGAGCAACGCTTATAGTCGTGAATTTGTTAACTAAAAGTGTCGATAATTCCTCTCGCCGGTCAGCTATTTTAGCTTAATAAACCCGACGGTTGCAGAAGCCCCGCCGCCCAACTCTCTCTCTCTCCGCTGCTTCTCAAGACTCCCGGCTGCTAATGTGAAAACAAGCTCCTGGTTCTGGTCTGGTGTGAGTAAACGACACAACACGGCAACAGAACTAATCGCATTTACTGGTAAACATCACAACAGTTCACAAAAGCTTCGACTGAAGTCCCAGAAAGAATTTAATTTGTTAAAAACTGTATCTAACGTCACTGCAGCGTACTACTTAAGAGCTAGCTCAACATTTTAGCCACTTAATGATGGCGACAACTTCCACAGCTGAGGAACGTCAGAGTAGACTGGTTGCCAGGTATTCCTTTTATTATCCCTCATTTGAGCCGAACCTGTTACCGTAAACAGTGAGTTGGTTTTAAATTTTAAAGTGAACTCCCATTTTCCTGGGCAATGCAGTATGAAAGTTTTATTTATTTTGTACACAAAACCGTATTATTCGAACAATTTAGTCAAGATATAGAGTGAAAATGCACGGTTTTTTAAAACCTGGCAACTCACTAGCCCCACGCTTTGTATTTGTTATGGGTGCAGATGGACAGGAAATTCAACCAATGAGATTCTCTTTCATCGCCAGTAGGCGGTGCTTAGAAGGAAGTAAGCTAATGACGAAAAGCTAAATGTTTTTAGTTATTTAACAGGTTTGCTAGTCCTTAATCTTCATGATTGCAAACCTTGTAAATGACACCAAAGCCATTTAATAAATCACCAAATTTTTATTTTTCTCAGTGTAACAGGTATGTGACTTTGTGTAAAACAATTAGTCAATTTTCTGCTACTTATTCCAACATTATTAGAATCTATAATAGTTGATAATCTTGAGAAAACTCTTAAATTCCAAGAACTATAAAGCACTGATAGATTTTATTTAAAAAATGTCAGAATATATAAGTTAAATTATGAATGCATTCTTTTAATTTCTGCAAAGTCACAACACTTTCACTCTAATTATTCAGTTTTTTTTTTTTATAGAGAAAACTGATGTATTCTGTTGATTAAACTCAGTTTTCCCATTCTCACACTGTCATGCTGTTAAACTGAACATCTCTGGACATGGTCTCAGTTTGAGTCCTCCCCTTCCTTTTTAAGGTCTATATTTAGACGCAGCAGGACAAGTTGTTGGTATCAGACCCTTCATGTTGACTATCCTGGAACATTAACAGCTCCCTCCAGAAAATCAAGGAACTGAAAGTGATTTTCTGACTCAGAGAGGTTACAGGAAGTTACTTCGGTCTGTTTTGCAACTCCACGCGTTGGATTGTGCAAAGAGAAGGGTTTGATCATTCACGCTGAGGTGATGGGGGACGAGAAAACCACAGGGAGAGTTCCTCTCGTTGAAGAAACAAAGGTGAAGCTGCTTAACAACACCGAGGCCTCACTGGAGCTCGATGGCAATGTCGACTATGGCATCGCGGGGTCAAACTCCATCTACTCTGCGATCCTGAGCAGGAATGAGGCCGTCAAAGATGCAAAGCGTCTGAAGACCTTCTTAGAGCTGCGAGACAAGTACGTGAAGAAGAATGTTGTGTTCGAAGACCCCCTGTTCCCCGCAAACGACTCCTCGCTCTTTTACAGTCAGAAACCTTCGATGAAGTTTGAGTGGAAACGTCCCTCGGTGAGTGCTGATCTCTGGTCGCATTAATGAGATGAAACCTCTAACGTGTTCTCCTCATATCTCCAGCCTTCAGTTCAGTCCTGGTTGTTGGGGGCCTCTATCCTGCTACTTGTTTCCCTGCTCCAGCACATCTGATTCAGTAATTACCTCTTCAAGTTCTGCAGAAGTCTGTTAATTACTTGATTCTTCAAATCAGGAGTGGCAGAGCAGAGAAACATCTAAAGCATGCAGGATATAAATCCTCCAACCTCTGACTTAGGATATCAGCACGAGGAGGAGGCACATATCTGTGGACCACCACCTTCTACAGTCTCAGTCAGCTGACTCTCACTCCGCCAGACGTAAATATGAAGATATACACAGAGAGCCTTCTGACACACATACCCAAAGTGCTGCGAAAGTTTTGAATGATTCACCTTTAACGACGCGTAGCTTTGGCAGCAGCTGTGAGAGGAACGTTTGGCAACAAAGGCAGCTTTGCTGACCAGGACTCAAATATCTGCCAAAATAAAAGTATCCAAAGTCAATCTCAAAGTTATTAAACTGGACTTAAACATTTAAACATTGAAAAGACAAGTTGGAAACTGACGGCCATCTTGATTTGGGGTGACTCCAAAAGTTTCTGCTAAAATTCCAATCAAAGATTTCTTGCAATAAGGAGCATTCAATTACTACCACGCCAAATTTTAACTCAACGTCTGTGAAATTGACTGAGTTTGTCTTTTTTTATATATATTTTTAAAGGCCAGTTGGCTTTGCTAAGAATGTTTACCAATAATATTCCTCCAATCAAATTCAAGAAGACACCACTAAATAATTTGTAAATCTCATTTGTAGTCTGTCAAGCCACAGATGTCTCAAGAAGACATTTCGCTGAGATTAGTGACACATGAATCCCACCCAGGGGTCAGCAGAGACGCAAACTCTAATTTAAGAACAGGAGTTTATGTTTTTACAGCCTCAGTCATGACAGATCGTGTACTGACATGACAACGCACAACAAACTCATAAAAAAGACTCAAAATACTGTTCTGGTTTATATTTGTTAGAAATATCATTGTTTGCATGTAATAAATAATTTTTGGATTTAAGATTCATTTCTCAGTTTCTGTTTTCCAGGAAATCTGTGAAAACCCTCAGTTTATTGTGGATGGAGCCAACAGAACGGACATCTGTCAGGGAGAGCTGGGTAATATTTACTTTTTTTCTGTTTCTAAACACAACATTGCTTTAACTGGCTTTATCAGAACTCTAGAAAAAAGTGTAATAAAAAATATTTAGATAATTTAACTTGATGTCACATGCAAAAGCCCTCCTGCCATAGACGAAAAGGTCAAATGGAACACTTCTGGTTTTTATTTGTATGCACAAATATTAAAATGGTAAATATCTCCGGAAATATTTGCAAATAACAATATCTGAATGTAATAAACAATTACAACAGAAGACAGGTTCTGCATACCTTAAATAAAAACCCTTAGAAACAAAAACAACAAAACAGACATTGTGGTTACTGGCAGTGGTGGGCGTGGCTAATAGAGGACTAGCTTTTTCACCAACTTTAAAAACTGATAGAGGACCAATTAGTCTCGGCTTAATTAGGTTTTTCCACCTTTTTGTTCGCTAACAGACTAACAAGATAACATCAACAGATTTTTGTCAGTCGCACCAGTCTTCAGCTAGGAGACAGTCATCTTAGTGGTTAGCTGTTAGTGTTAGCTCCTGCTAATCTTTACTTTTTTTTATAGCTTTTACCAATTATTTTTTGCATGTTTAGTGGTTTAGCATTAGCAAAGTAAGTTATATTTTAGTAAGCTTTTCCACCAACTTAAAAGCTGTTAAGACCAATTAGCTTTTGCTAAATTAGGTTTTGACAACTAGCGATTAGTCGTTGGTGTTTGCTTCTGCTAATTTTTACTTGTTTAGCATTAACTTCTGCTAATTGTTTTACATGTTTAGTGGTTTAGCTTTAGGAAAGCTATATATTTAATTACTGGATTATGAGTTAGCGATGCTAACTTTTTGTTTAGCTGAGCCTACTGGTTACAGGGATAACCAAATGGTGTACTATGTAGTCATTCTTGGCAAAAATCAGCATTTTCACATTCGTTTTCCCAGCAGCCTGAACTCATTCTGACACATCTTAAAAACACGAGTCAGACATGCTTCCATCCAGATGAGGTCTTAATCAGGGAAGACCTCAGGAAGGACACGTCTGGATTAAATTCTTCTCAGCTCATGAATCTGTTGTCGGCAGGTGACTGCTGGCTGCTCGCCGCCATCGCCTGCCTGACGCTGAACGAGAAGCTGCTGTACAGAGTCATCCCTCCAGATCAGAGCTTCACAGAAAATTACGCTGGGATCTTCCACTTTCAGGTCTTCCAGAAACATATTAACTACTGTGTCGTTATATTATTCTTTTTATTTTGTTTGTTTAAGTAGTATTGAGTTATATTGAGTTAATTTTTTGTATCTTTTTATTGTACACAACACAGTACATTTTAGATACTGGGGTCAGGACCCTGCGTGGGTTGTAATACCATAAGTGAGGGGTCTTGAGTAATTGTTAAAATCACGTTTAGTCTCTGTTTGTTTGTAACACTCATATATCAGTAGCATTCATTCAGACTTTGTCGTGTTACAGTTTTGGCGTTACGGAGAATGGATCGACGTGGTCGTGGACGATCGCATCCCCACCTGCAACAACCAGCTGGTTTTCACCAAATCTTTCAGGAAGAACGAGTTCTGGAGCGCTCTGCTGGAAAAAGCCTACGCCAAGTATACAGACTCTTTTTTTTTGTTTGTGTTTTTGTTTGTTTGTTTTTACAGTCATAAAATATTCACAAGAAAACTATTTATCGTTATATTTAAACCACTTCCCAAGAAATGTTTCTTTGAATGACCTGACTTTGTGTTATGTAATGATAGAACCCAATTTGCACCAAACATTTATTAAAGATGGACAATGTTTTGCAGAAAAAACTACACTCCTCGTGTTTCTTAAATTGGCCACCATGTTGTGAAAAACCTCTTCGATCAAATGTGTCTGCATTCTTACAATAATTATTGACCTCTCTCAGGTTGCACGGGTCTTATGAGGCACTGAAAGGTGGGAACACTCTGGAAGCCATGGAGGATTTCACCGGTGGGGTCACTGAGTACTTCGAGTTGTCCGAGGCGCCGGCGGACCTCTACAGCATCATGAAGAAGGCTCTGCAGAGAGGCTCGCTGATGGGCAGCTCCATAGATGTGAGTGGTGGGCAGAAAAAAAAAACCCTCAAATGTTACACAGCGTGGGAATATTTAAAACGTTCTGCATCTGTCAGGTTTCTGCAGGCAAAGAAATGGAGTCCCGGACCGAACATGGTCTGGTCAGGGGCCACGCTTACTCCATCATCGCTCTGGAAGAGGTGCACCAAAATGCTCAGCTGAAGGCAAACGTGCATTCTAGATGGGAAACTTTTAATGAACGTTAATGTGAGGTTTGTTTTCTCAGTGTGACGAGGTCTCAAAGGACACCAAGATCTGCTTGATTCGGTTGCGCAATCCCTGGGGTTGGGTTCTCTGGAAGGGACCCTGGAGTGCCAAGTAAGGCCTGACGTGAGAGGTCTGAACAGTTTTTGTCCTAAAATCATACAGAATCGAGCAGCATAAATGAATTATAGCTGCTGTGAGCTTATTGTGATGATGAGGATGTTGGAGGTTCTGCTTAATTGTGCTGAATCAGCGTGTTTACAGTCATTTTTCCATTAAGTGTCCTCTCTACTTCAACATACTTTGTGCTATTTTAACCCTTTAAATATAAAAACATTAAGTTCGGTCAGTAACGTTGCTGTGACTTTTGGTATATTTAATTTTTTTACTCATCAAGATTTAAAATATAAATTCATAATAAAAATATATAAAATATGTTTTCTATCCCAACAGAAACGTTCTCTTAAAAATAGCCTTTTAGAAAACATTTTCTACTTTTAGCTGATATTTTGCTACTTCTAGTTTTTCACCATTAATTTGGCTTCCTTCATGTAACATTTGGCTACTTTTGAATTTGAGCTACCATTCTGCTACATTTAGCTTTTAGCTACTGTTCTGCCACTTTTTGCTTTTCTAAACATTATGCAAACTTTTAGCCACAGTTTTACTATTTTTAGCTACTCTTGGATTACTTAAGTTTTGTCATTTGTTTTGCTCCTATTGATGTTTGTTAATTTTAGTTTTTAGCTACTATTTTGCTACTCGTAGCTTTTCTCTACTCTTAAGCAACTTTCATCTTTTACCTGCAGCTAAACTCACCTTAGCTACTGTTTGATGACTTTAGCTTTAGCATCTATTTTGCAAAGTTTAGCTTTAACCTACCTTTTTACACATTTTAGCTAATGTTTGATGACCTTAGCTTTTTTATTTCTTTAATTTGCTACATTTTCCTAATATAGTGTTAACTTTAGTTTTATCAGTTGTTTTGCTACTTTAGGTATTGTTTACTAATTTTAGTATGTGTTTTGTAAATTGAAGTTCTTGCATCTGTTGCTAACTTTAGCTAGTGTTCTGCTGCTTTTAGCTTTTGGCCATTTTATCTTGCTTTGCTTGTTTTCAACAACATTCTTTAGTTTTCACAATAAAAACATTTTTCCAGAGTTGAAGCCCAGTTTTGAAGGATTTTATTTTGTTTCTGATCTTTTAGTGTCACTGCTCTTTTCTGTACTTTTTCATAAAATCTTTATTTTATTTTTCCTCAGCTCGAAGGAGTGGTCGACCATCTCCACTGCAGACAGGGAGAACCTGAAGAAACAGACTGTAGAGACGAGTGAGTTCTGGTGAGTTGAATGAACTCTGCCCTCTCTGTCATCACAGCTTTTATTTTCTAATTTAACCACATAATCATTGTGGTGATGATGATGATGATGATGATGGAGGTGACACAATAATAGTATTTGCTGGACGTCCAACTCCTGAGCTGTTGGTTTTCTCCAGGATGTCCTTTGATGATTTTAAGAGGAGTTTCACCAAGCTGGAGATGTGTAACCTGACGCCCGACACGCTGCAAGGCGACGAGAGGCACAGCTGGACGGTGTCGGTCCACGAGGGCCGCTGGGTGAGAGGCAGCTCTGCTGGCGGCTGCAGGAACTTCCCAGGTTGGCCCCTCCCCCTTTTTAATCACATGTCAAAATAAACATAAAAACCAAAACAACTTAGATATTTATTTTTGCAGACACGTTTTGGACAAATCCTCAGTATCAGCTCCAGCTGTACGAGGAGGACGACGACCCAGAGGACGGGCAGGTGGTCTGCACGGTGGTCGTGGCTCTGATGCAGAAAGGACGCAGGATGCAGCGTCACAAAGGGCTCAACTTCCTCACCCTTGGGTTTTCCATCTATGAGGTGTGTCAACAAGACACTTATAAAGGGACAAACCTGTTCGTTAATTTAATTTGTTTTAACAGTTTATTCCATCTGTCACTTTGCAGGTGCCAAAAGAGGTACGTCCAAGAATAAGATTAGGAAAGAGATGATCAGAGGTGCTACAGAGACCAGGTTTGTCCAGAGGAGGGACAGTGGGTATATTGATAGGATGATAGAAGAGGTACAGTATATGTATGCAGAAGACATGGACATAGTTGGAGGACAGAGTGAGACGGAAGAGAGTGACCATGGAGCTAAATTGGGGCCATAAAGTTTGAAGCTGAAAAAAGTTTTTTGAGTTCAGCTCAAAACTACTTGTATCATAATTAGTATGGCAGGTCATTGTGTCGTATAATTTAAAATTGTGGCAACTTGTTGTATCTTATAAAAAATGACAGGTAGTTGTGTCATATAATACAAACATGGCAGGCCATTGTATCATATAATTAACAAGGTTTTGCAGGTCATTGTGTCATATAATTTAAAATCATGACAGGTCATTTTATAAGATTAGATTAGATTAGATTAGATTAGATAAGGTAAGATAAGATAAGATAAGATAGACCTTTGTCATTGTACAGAGCACAATGAAATTACAGTTCAGAACACCCATTCAGATACAATTAAAGTATGGTAGACATATCATGACAGGTCATTGTGTCATAGCCTTTAAAGTTATGGCAGGCTGTTGTTTCATATAACAAGGAAATGTCAGTTCATTGTGTTATATAATTTAAAAATGTGGCAGGTCCTTGTATCATAAAATTAACATTGGCAGGCCGTTGTATCATAGTTAACATTGTATGGCAGGTCATAGTTTCATAGCATTTAAAAATAGATTAATAATAATGTGGCAGGCTGTTGTCATAAGTAACAAGGTAAAGCGGATCGTGTCATAATTTCAAAATATGGCAGGTTGTTGTAGAATATATATAAAGTTATGGCAGGCTGTTGCATCATAATTAGAATGTGGTAGGTCATTGTGTCAATATAGCATTTAAAAATATGGCAGGTTGTTTATCATACAATCAATAAATATGTCAGGTTGTGCTATATAATTTATGTATGTCAGGTCGTTGTATCATATATGAAAAGTATGGCAGGCCGTTGTAATATATAAACAAATGTAAGGCAGGCCGTTGTATCATATAACCAAAAGTATACTTTAGATTTTGTTTTTTAGTTTCAAATCTTTTTTTTTTTTCAGTTTCATGACTATTTTTCTATTTTAAATAATTAGTTTTCAGTTGAAATTTTATTTTTTATTTTATTTTAACTTTATGGCCCCAGTTTAGCTCCATGAGTGGTCCTGAAGAAGCTGAAGACAGTTTTTTATGACCACTATTAACAAAACGTTCCATCTTCAGCCGGAAGGACAGAATCAGCATCTGCAGAAAGACTTCTTCCTCTACACGGCCTCCAAAGCCAAGTGCAAGTCCTACATCAACCTGCGGGAGGTGACGGAGCGTTTCCGGCTGCCTCCCGGAACCTACGTCATCATCCCCACGACCTACAACCCCCATGAGGAGGGCGAGTTCATCCTCAGGGTCTTCTCTGAGAAGCAGAACATGTCTGAGTAAGAAATTTGAAAACACAGAAGCAACATCGAAAATAAAAAGCAAAGGTTGATGAATGTTTTTTTCCCCCCACAGAGAAACAGAAAGCACCATCGACCAAATACAGGTTTGTAAACTGATGATGGTGGGTGGTAAAAATATAAGTGTCCTCTGCTGTCCACTTTGTCTTCCAAGGAGACAGGACAAGAGGATTTCATGAATAGTTGTCTTTTAGAATTGCTGAAGTTCTTTTTAAGTTTTCCTTTGAACTTTGGCCTTTTTTAAAAAAATTTTAATTCATTTTTATGGAGCCCGCGAGGGGTCATGGCGGATTTGTTTTTCTTTTGCGTTCCCACGCAATACCATTGCATCACCTCACAAATGTTTGCATTCCCTCGCAATATTGTTTTGCGTTTCCACGCAAAAGTTTTGTATGAACTGAATTAAATCAGACTTTTATTTTGAAATTATGTGTCGCCACAAGTTCGTGAAGTTCACATTGATGTTGCGTGGCTGTACTATGTTAAAATGTTGGCATATTCATGTGTGGCCGTGTGATACATTCATTTCAAAGCTGATTTAAAGTAGTAAGCTATCTCGATAATGGTGAGCATGTGAATTTGTTAATAAACAGACAGGCAAAACAGTGATAAACAACTTTTGCGAGGGAATGAAAAAAAAAAAAGATCACCCATGTCCCCTCGCGGGCTCCGTACATTTTCCATCCAGTTCTTGTACTGTGACAAACATTTTTGTCAACAATTCCAACAGATGGTTCAGTTTATAAAGCAGCAGATCACTGAATAATGTTTAAAAGAACGCAGTCTAATATTGATCTTTTTCCTGAGACACATTTGAAATTCTATTCAACATTTCCTACATTTTCTTTGCTTTAACTCCTTCGGTCTTGTTTTGTATTCTTGTGTTTTCTCTTCCTTCCATCTGATTTTATTCTTTGTTCCAACTCGTCTGTTTGACGATCAAGAAGAAGAAAAGTAAGGTAACTTCCTTCTTCCTGCTGTCATTCTGTTTATGACAATAAAAGGTTTAAGCTGTTTGTAGATAAAATAATAATAATAATTTCTCCACTGTGTTGTGTTTACGCCCCTCAGCCCATTGTGTTTGTGTCGGACAGAGCACGGGTCAACAAAGAGCTTGAACATGATGGCATTCAGGGGGAGAAGAAGAAGAAGAAGAAACCAAAGGTAACTTTTAGTGTTTTATACCCTGATGATGTCACCGTTGTTACCTGACAAACACAGGATCAGGTTTAATCTTACCACTGGAAATAAAGTTTTTAGTAGAAGACCTTAAGGTATGATTTTTACTTCATGTTTTTGAAGTGTTTAAACACAGTCTTATAAAAACCTTCCACCTTTAGCTAGAATTCAATAATCTACATCTACATCTTAACACTTTTACACATATTAAAAGCAAATAATGAACATTTCGGCTCACATAGATTAAAGTACTTTAAACACGTGTCTTTTTTGAGAAGCATTTGTGCATAAAGACCCAATATAGACAATGATGGAATTTAGTCAAAAATAGTCTGAAAACATTGACATATTTTTCGTCAACTTTCAGTTTTTGGCTACATTTTGACTCATTTTAGTCGAACAATCTTAGTTATAGAGTTTATTTGTGTACTTTTAGCTGCTGTTTGCTATTTTTGTTAACATTTTTCAATTTTTCCATTTTAGCTACTGTTAGACGACCTTAGCTATAGGAAACTTTGCTTCTTTTTGCTGTTTTCTTAATTTTAGCTTTAGCATTTGTATTGCTACTTTTAGCTACTGTTTGCTACTTTTAGCTTTTATCTACTGTTGGGCAACTTTTAGTTACCATTTTACTAATTGTAGCTACTGTTTGATGACTTTAGTTTTAGCTACTTTTAGCTTTTATCAATGAATTTGTCTTTATTTAGCTATCATTCTGCTACTTTTGCTAATTTTTAACGTTTTGCTACATTTAACTTTATTCTGCTGTTCTGCAGAGTTTAGTGTTTAGTTAACATTCAACTCATTTTAGCTATTCTTTGATGACCTTAGCTTTATCTGTTTTGCAAATTATTTTTGTTATTTTAGCTTTAGCATTTGTTGTGCTACCTGTTTTGTAATTGATAGCTTTGGTATTATAGCTTCTGTTGCTAACTTTAGCTAGTTTTCTGCTGCTTTTAGCATGCAGCTAGTGTTCCACTCATTTTATATAGTTTTATTTTAATTACTTAGTTCCAGATTCTTCAGTAAATTTCAGCACACACTGGCAAAAACATTATCGCTCTTTTTTCTATGGCAGTGGGCGACAGCTAAACCTGAGTTTAAAGCTCTTTAGTTTCACAGAGGTTAAGTAATTGTTTTGTTCAAATGACAATTGTTTTTTTGTTTTTTTAAAAAAAGGCACAAATTTAATTGCATCTTTTCCTGATTCGTCCTCCAGCTGAAGCTGCTCCAGCCCGAGGAGGAGACCGAAGAGGAGAAGAACTTCAGGGCCATTTACCAACAGATTGCTGGTGAGGTGAGTAGTTAAGTCTTTAATGTCTGAGTGTTCTTGTATTCATGCTGCAAGGCGCAACGGTTCCCTCCTCCTTCCTGCAGGATATGGAGATCTGCGCCAACGAGCTGAAGACCATCATGAACAACGTTCTCTCTAAACGTGAGCACGCAGCAGAGGTCGCCATCAATGCTCACGTGCACGCTCTTACCCCGAACTGCTTCTGTCTTTTGCTTTTTACAGATAAAGAAATAAAATCAGAGGGGTTCAGCCTCGAGACGTGTCGGAGTATGATCGCCCTGATGGACGTATCCTTTAAAAACCCCAAGCAGAGAAAACTCCTCATGAGGCGATTTTTCTGTAACTGACTCTTTGTCAGACCGATGGATCCGGGAAGCTGCACTTCCAGGAGTTCAAACACTTGTGGAAAAAGATCAAGGAGTGGCAGGTGAGATTCAACCTCAGGTAAACTCTTTTTGTCGTCGGCCACCTTTAAGCTGACCCTCTCTTCTTCTGCAGCTCATCTTCAAACGGTTCGATAAAGACAAACGCTCCTCCATCAGCAGCTTTGAGATGAGGAACGCGGTCAACGATGCAGGTGAGCAGAAAGATGAAACGTTTATGAATTCAGGGTATGAAGTTGTACGTTTCTGTCGCTCACTCCTCAGGGTTTCACCTGAACAAACAGCTGTACGACATCATCGCCATGCGCTACGCGGACGAACGCCTCAACATCGACTTTGACAGTTTCATCTGCTGCTTCGTCCGACTGGAGGGCATGTTCCGTAAGTTTAACCCAGATGAACAAAAACACACCGTTACGCTGAGGTGAAACAGACAGAATGTGTGATTTTCAGTAGTGAGCACAGTTCTGCTAAAACGTTACTAGCTTCTCATTTAGCGGATTAGCTTGTTTGCTAACCTGGAATCTATCAGCAAAACGATTAGTTGCTCAGTTAGGTTCCACAAGTGTTAATTTTCTATTTTTATGCCATTCATCCTGAAGTAAATAAAATACGATTCCTGTTTGCAAGCAGTGCTGGATGTTTCAGGTAATGTTTGTGTAGCATCTTTAGCAACCTAATTTCAAAGTAAGAGTGTCAAAAAGATATAATAAATATTTTTGCAATATTTAAATAAATACAAAAATTGACTACATATAAAATACAGTATGGTAGAGGAAGTATTTGTTGTTGGAATAACTTCAAACGGTGTTTATAAAAATACAAACTAAGAAATGCTTTTGTTCTGAAAGGGTTAAACTGGATTATAAACATCATCTTATAAATTTAGATTATAACTAGTTTGGATTGGCCGACTTCCCACAAATAAGCCCAGCCACATTCAAATTAAACTATAGAAACTAACAACAGCTTTGCATCAGTCCTGCTAACTAGCTTAGCCGTTAGCGTTCGAATCTGTTTAGCAGTTTAACATTAGTGCAGCTAAGATTCTTGTTTAGCAGTTTAGTGGTTAGTGAACCTAACATTTTGCTTAGCTGTGCCCACCACTGGTGAGTTTTATGTTATATTTACATAATCAGAAAAACTCTGATTAAAGCACAAAAACAATCCAGATGTGGGATCATCTTGTGTTTTTCAGGAGCTTTTAATGCTTTCGATAAAGACGGAGACGGATTAATTAAACTCAACGTCCTGGAGGTATGTTTTTTTGTGTGTAATCATGTTTTTGTCCATGACAGCATGTGAATCTGTCTGCTTAGCAAATTATTTCATGAAAAACTAAACAGATTAAAAAAAAGCATTCATAAATTAAATGTTTATGACGAATGAGATGAAGTCAACCCAATTCAAAATGGCCGCCGCAGCAAAGCAACCTTGTCAAAGAAGAATGGTCGTCCATTTTTCCAGATATGGAGATAAAATTAGGAGTGATGGTAACATGCTGCAGATTGAAACTCTGGCATGGATGGAACACACCTTATAAGCTTTTAATTCTGTCGGCATTTTGACACGTATCAAGAAATGTTTTTTATTTTTTTTAAATCAAGTTCATTGTTCTGATATTTTCTCTTTTTTCCCTATCTAGTGGCTTCAGCTGACCATGTACTCTTAGATGATTTCATCCAAGACAGCGGCTCACTTCACCCCAACGTCTGATGTGACTTAAACTCCCAAAAATTATGAAAATCATAGTTTTTTGCACCATTATTGAGAGTCGCCTTCTGTGAATAGAAGCTTAAAGCTGACAAGACTCTCAGGAAATATGTTATAGTATTTAAAACAAATCAACTTTCCCTCCTTTATAAAGTTCATTTTTTAAGTTATATTCTGCACAAAAGCTGAAAGAAATTTTTATTTTTTATTGCTATACACCTGCAGTAGATATTAAACAGTCTACACGGAAAACACACAAACTGAGGCAAAACCATAAAA